AAATTAAAGAGCAATGCTCACTTTGTACAATGATAAAATACATTGTTACACACCCTATAAGTTGCATGGTCTGAAATGTGTTTGTAAACACAACAACAATACAGTACCAACTTGCAGAAAATGCAAAAGAAGACAAATTATGAAATACTCAGAATATCAAGTGAAAAAACACAATAATACTTTGTGCTACCAGGAAATTTAACCTAAAACACACTAATCAGTAAATTATGACCTCAAAGAATATGAAACGGAAGAAGTAGATCATAATTAATATGCATAACATTGACTACTTAATATTCAGCAATATTAGATTGGTCCAGTTAACAGAAATGTTGTGATTATGTATGTTATGCAAATATATTACTTCATTAGTAATAAACTTCTACTTTCATATTACGGACTTTGTTGGTATTGGTTTAAATTTTTTCCTACACAGAATGCCTTCTAAATTAGAAATTGTAATGGCATTCTGTAACATTACAGATGATTTGTTTATTAAGACATAGTTTAATTGTTACATTTACATTAAAATGATATGGTTTTGTAAAAAAAATACTATTTTAGAGTAAGACAAGATATGTCATTTTCTTCTTCATAATAATATCACAATGTTTTGTAAGAACTTTAAATTACTTGCTTAAATAAACATCCCTGAAATTTTATTTTTGTGGGAAATATGAAATATTATATTGTTATCTTAAGTAGTGTTTTGTAGGAAAACAATTGTTTAGTGTGTGTCCTATCGCATACTCTAAAGATAACAATAATTATGAGTACCTACGTTAAAAGTTATTTTAAATTACACTGTTGCTGAAGGAGCTTTGTAGGCCTCTAAACTAAGTTTCAAGTACTATCCCAAAGTTATCAAGATGTTTATCAGATATAAGGTTTTACTTAGTGTAACCTTGTTTACGGTTTAATACAATAAAATACTTTTACAACTTGTATTTGGTAAATTAGTCCTCAGTTACTCATTTATAACTCAAAATCTATAAAGTAACTATGGAATGCTAGTGATTTTATAGTAGAAATTTCACAAGTACAATAAAAATAAATCTCAAAATAGACCCAACAGGTAGCCAAGGGGATTATTTTCATCATTGATAGTCAATTTCTGATAAACACCTTTGTCATACATATAATTTTCGGAACTCACAATAATACCGTAAAGATATCGACAGATAATCCACTGATATGGGCAGAGATACGTAATCTAAGGGCATTCTGAATCACGCGGATCGCTAATGAGAATTCAAAGCTTACTCACCTGGCATTTTGGTCCAATCAAACTGAACACCTGGTCATTCTCTTCCCGAGACAACAGGATGCTCGGCCTGTTCTCTCCCCTCGGCATCCTGTACACTAATTCAACAAAACACACCTAAAAATTACTTTAAACATGCGAGTACCGATGTGTCAGTCGCCCCGACTTTCAAACATTTTATAGCCAAATAACAAGCACTTAACCGGCACACACTAAAATCTTTAGACGAAAATAAGAGCATTTCTCACAATACAGAAATACTCATTTCACTGTTTAAACTTAATAATCGCGAAAATCGTAAACTTCCAATTCACTTTCTCTGTCGACATCCGTACGTGAATAAATTCTGACTTAATAAAAGTTGCCAGCATTTAGTATTGCAATCCCATTTATAGTAAAAAATGTACACTACAGAAAAATATAAAAAAAGTAAATATGTATCAAAATCTACAAATAAACAAAAAATTATATAAGCAAAATTAATTAAATAATTTGATTAAAACTGATTGAATGGTTGATTTACGTCGAGTACGCATGAAATTAAACAAAAGCGTTATCAGTTTTATTTTAGTTATTGGCAACCTACCTTATCTGTCATTGTCAATTTCAGTTTTTATTTGTCATAGCAACATTATCCACAAAAAAATCTAATTTTAGATTAGTTCCTCACTAATAAAGATTATTTAACTATTAAAATATTTTAAAGTAAATAGGAGATATCAACTATTCTATCTTAGATAAACTATACCAGAAAACGAAGGACATTGAAAAACGATTGATGACGTTTGACAGTTCGGCCGCCATTACTAGAACTGGACGCACCGCGTATTTTGAAATTTTTATAAAGTAATTATTTTAATTATTTACAGTTCGATTTCGAATTAAAAATGTTTGTAACTAGCTGAAGCCGTCGTCTGCGTTATTTCTAAAATAAAAGTAGCCTATGTTACTCCTTTCTCCTTAGTACATCAGCTACCTGCAAATCAAAGTTCCGGCAAAATCGGTCCAGCCATTTCAGATATAGGTATTTAACTTAGCACATTTAAATGATTGCCGTGTAATAAGTAAATAGGGTAAGAACTACTGTAGGTATGTGATTTAAAACCTCAAAGTTGTGGTATGGGCCAATGGGTCTTTGAATACCGTCATTATAGACACAAAGAACAATAGGTTGCGGTCACCGGCGTTTGCGCGGTGTTTGACAGTTTAAGTTTAAATTGTAAAAAAATAACGGAGAAATGAAATTAACATCATCATTTTACATTTTTATTTTTATCTTGGTTTGCTAAACAGCAAACTAGATACAAAACGATACAAATTCATTAATTCTATTTTCCCGATAGCTATGTTGATCATACAGATTCAAATTGCACCATTACATATTACATACAGTGAAATAAACATCCTGATAAATTACTACACAATATATGTATACGTATACAAACTATATGTTGGGTGTTATTACATAGCTTATTTCTGTTTGGGCCAACAAAGTAACAATTAAAAAGTCAATGGCTTCTCAGATGTATTTCAAAACTTTGTATTGTTTTTTAAATATTCCATCACATTTGAATTATTATTTTACTTTATTCACAGATTCATTTTAAAACAACGAAACAAGAGGTTCACTTTTGATGTAGCTACTTCATTAAAGCCAAAAAGTATTAACAACGTACTAGGTACTTCTGGAACACCAAACACTTACTGTATCACTGTCATCCATTGACGCTAGCTATGGTATAAGAAACTGCTAGCATGCAAAGAACTCTAAGTAATACGTAAAGATAAAGTACATCTGTGAAATCATTTCCAATGGTATGTCAGCCCAATGTCAATGCAAACAATGTCTATTTTTGTCTTTTTTACGTACCAATACAGGTTCAAACACACACAATATATTTTTTTCACCAGTAACACAACTATTACACAAATACTAGTGTTGGGCTAAACGATTAAGACTGAATTATGTCTTAGCATAAACGATTAATCGATTTAGAACAGCACTAGATTCAACCATTACTATTCTTACAGCAGTTATAAGAGATTAAATAGTTTTCAGGAGATATAAAGATAAAAATGTATTACATGTGCTTAAGAGAAGTGGATACATTTTTAAGTCTGATTTCAATACAAGGTCTAGTATTCGATGGCGTGAATTCTACGTATTATTTTTTAAATTAATCATATGTATAAAGACGTAAATAAATACTACAGTAAACGTGTACTATTTACAGCCCATATAGTAAAGAAAGCTATAGCTACTTTGACGATCACAATGTTACGATATCAATCAGAGATCTAAATGAAATACATTAATAAATAATTTAGACCTTATCACTTTTACATAGGTAGGCAGGTCATAGGGATTACGTAGTACATTAATACAAAGTCATAGACTAGGTTGCTGCAGTACAGTTGCTATTTATGTATTTGAAGTTAATTTCGAATATAATGATGGTATATTCATTACAAACGCGTATAAATAAGACATTACATTATGATTACGCTGAAGAAATTTCATAGATAAAATTAATAATCTACTGTTATAATTGACATACTAAAATACTACACGAATAGGAGGGTAGTTTTGAAAATGTTTGCTGTTTGTAGTTAAGTACCCGCATTATGTTGAGGAGAAACACAAAGCATTATTTGTCATTACAATTTGTGCGTACATATTAAACAATAAGGTCCCTTTTCCTGTCACGCGTATTTTAGTCCGCACGCAGGTCTCGTCCGCATGCGGGTGATAGCTCCGAGCCACACGCAGGACAAAGATTTCGTTTGCTGCTGCAGTTTTGTGCGTTTCGCCAGTGAGTAAACTCGTGCACAAACAAGAACGTTAAAAAAATAATTACCGCCTATACCTACCTATATCATTTTCAAATATGAACATCAATTCTGAGTAGATTTAACTCGTTGAGTACCGTCATTATAGACACAATTATAGAACAATAGGTTGCGGTTACCGGTGACCGCTTGGTGTTTGACAGTTTAAGTCAATTTTTATTCTTGTGATTATATGCGGACTATGAGCGTGCGTGCAACCCGCTTCACGCTAAAAACAACACTAAGGGTGTTTTTAATATCGTGCGGATTTCGTCACGCGTGCGGTATTGCCCCGCATGCAGAAAATTTCACGCAGCGTGAAACCCGATAGTCTATAGTCCCGCGTCCGTATTCCACGCATTATAATAAATACTTTTATGAAAAGGACATTTGCGGGGCTTACGCATGCGGGGCAATCCCGCACGCGTGATGATATCCGCACGATATTAAAAACACCCTGAAGGCAGAAGATCACCGCCCGTATCTGGATAGCACGCACGCGGGCTGAGTGCCCGCAGCCAACCCGCATTCCGCGCGCGGGTTACACGTATGTTAGGAAAAACATGTATCAAACGATAGGATGCGGGCAGTCCGCATGCAGGCGAGACCCGCGTGCGGGCTAAAATACGCGTAACAGGAAAAGGGTCTTTACAACATACTATGAGAAGACTGTTGATAAAAAGTTGTATTTTTTGCAAACTTTTGTTATATCTTCAAAAAGGTGCCCTTTTTGTTGGAAGATGCCTTGAAGAAGTTACGAAATAGACACATGTAATTGACAAACACAGACGTTTTAGATATGATAATAATTATTATTATAGTAAAACCATTTTACATGATAAAAATAATGATTTTGGGATCAAAGTCGAAAAGAGAAAATTGACTTAACAGACAACATTTAAGTCTTGGACATTTTTCGAGGCAAAACATAGTAACAGAATAAAAAATATACACACCAATTTTATCTTTTTAGAATTTTAACACCGAAACACCGAATAGGCCTCAAAAACGTTGAAATTCGATGTGTATAAGACGAGGAAGATTTTAAGGCAGTTTAGTAAAGAGATGCGTTGTTTGCGCTTTACGCTGGTGCTATACTTGACGTATACCTAACTACCTAATATTGAACTTTATACCAATAGGTACAAAGTTCTTTTTCCAATTATGTCAAATATGGCGCCCGCATTAGAATAACACTACAAGATGAGGAGACACCAGCGACAATTGAAAATGATTTGAAATGAATAAAAAAAAAATTCGCTCCAGCTTGTGTAATCAGTGTGTTGATATTTAGTTAATTTACGTCGTATTATGAACGGCTAACAGATTAATGTGATAGGAGCATGGTAAATATTGAGACAGCTCTTAATATGAGTGGGTCAATGACCGATAGTCACGACTTGTTATTATTTGTTGAAAATAAAAATTCCACTTCTAATTTTCCACTTCACGGGCTGAATCATATCGGGTGGTACGGACTATAGACCGATAACCGATAATGTCCAGCTAGCTACCTGAACAATAACTACCTCTCATACAAAAGCAACTTTGTTTGGGCATTCGCGGCGTCTCCAATCAACTTGCATCGTGTAAGTTTGATAAAATACAATACTACCATCTAATCCAGCGATACTCAACATTTGAGAAGATTTGATAACAGCACTCTGCAAGGAAAATTAAAAAAAAGATTCCGTAGATATCTTTTAAAACACGAGTTGAGTACCACTGACCTACATAGTAAACGTTTTGTACACTTTAGCTATACACATAAAGGCATAGAGTTCACAGCGAGTGCTTAATTTAGTTTTCGTAAAATGCTTATGGATATGTAAGTAAGAATTCATGACAAAATCAAGATCAAAATCATATTCCTCTTATGCTAAAGACGAAAACATCGTTTAAACAATATTTCTGTGAGATTCACTTTTACCTTGACAGATAAAAGTTGAAATTAATTCATAAATAACCTAATTCGGCAAGTAAAATTCTCTGCTTACTTAAAATTATTACGTAGTTAATGGAAAATAATTTGTGCATGAATGGGGATGATGACAGGGTATGAAAATTAAAAATATAATTAGTCCGTAACTTAGGTAATAAAAAAATATTAGACACGTATTTTTTTATTTTGTTGTATAATAAAACAATACTTAGATAAAACGAATCAAAGTTTAGGAGTGGGGGCTAAAACGTCATTTCTTAGTATAAAATGTACTGAGAAGTGACGTCACGCGACATTTCACATCAATATATCTTCGAAACTATTCGTTTCCGTAAGAAAATAAAAAATACGTGTCTAATGTTTTTAAATAATCTACCAGACGGACATTAAAATAAAAATTAGTCGTCTACCCCATTAACGATAAAATGTTACAACGCCATTGTAAGAACACAGTATCTAATGGAAAAAAGATGAAATGGATGGAAAATAGCAAATTTTACACCAACTAGTATCTAGGTATAAACTATACTACAGGTTCACATATAAATATTAAGATAGCTACCATTAAGTTGTACAGCCTCGAAATAGTGTAGTCAACGTAATTGACTTGATGACTTTGGCGTAGCGAATGTAGTGTATACAGTTACTATAGAATAGATCATTAGGAAACATCAAACATCCTTCACAAACTTTACATTGCACTAGTTTGAACCCACAGAACATTTTATTTCGTCATTAGATCAATTCGAAACAATTTACTTGAGTCAAAGTCAATTAAAATGTGCACATTTCAATTGAAGCTAGTTTTCATTAAACATATCAGATTCGTCTGGACTTTTAATAAAAGAAGATGTTAATATTACTTTCGATTAATTAACAGATGTTTCGAACTAAGCCAAAACTAACCATATTTACGAAAAGTTTTTTATTTTTCCTAGATATTACATCATCGCTGAAACAGTCCAAATTTTTTATTCTATACAAATAAAAATACATAAAACACTGAAGAAAAATATTAAACAAGACTAACATAATTTTCTACATAAAACAAATAAATATAAATGATACAGCACTTTATATACAGTATTCATTACATTTGTAAAGACTTTAAAACAAAATTGTACTCATTATCAAATAATTACTAATAAATAAATTAGCTCAAGTTAAGCGTACTTAGTGACCTATATCTATGAAACAGCTGCACGATTTATGATAAACTATCATAGTAGAAAACATAACTATACAAATAAATTATCGTACATTAGCAAAGACAGATACAATATGTGCTGCCGACATCTTAGCTTAGACAACAATGTGTAATTATAATTTATTGATTTCCGCACAGTCGGGAGTTGAATCGATCATTTTAATAGTCGCATTGTCAAGGTGTAATACGATAATGTTTAATGCATACTAGTCAGAACCTCATTTGGGAAACGTCCATAGCAAAAAGCCGTCAGTTTTTGTAATCCATAATGATTGCAAAGTCATAATGAACACAGTTTTTATGCATTTTAATCACATGACTTTTTCTAAGTCGTTAAGTCATTATTTGTGTTGAACATCGATATTATCGATAAAGTCAATTTATTAGGCTGTGGTTGATTAGAAAACATTATAGTTTCATTTATAACTAATGATTGCTTTGAAGCACATATCGTCATAATATGGTTTGTCTTGATTTATCAATCGATATGATTCGAGCGTATTCAAAAATAACTTTTACTTTTTTGCACTCAGCATTTATGATATGAACATATTATATTTATTAATGTTTACGATTTTCGTCACGTAGTTTCGCCCAATTTGTTTCGAATTTGTGTGAAACTTTTCAAACTAAAATGATTACAGGGCGAAGTTACGAGTAGAGGGGTAAACATTAATAGATATGAATTTGGCCTAAGAAACTTCTGATATAAAAGATATGAACATTGTTTCAGTTCCAAAAACTTACTTTGACTGTGCCAAGTAAATGCTAAGTACTGTTAAAGCTATTTGTTGAGAATGTCACGCATTCACAACTAAAGTTCGCATACTTATTACTATCGCGCCATTTTAGGACACTGAATATAAAAACATATTGACCAACAGTACCCCTGTCATTGTGCGTCCTTTACTTAACTACGTATCGATTGCTAAATCTGTGTATGAAGCTGAGCGATTCTACATTTCTCCTGATTCTTTGGTAGAGAAGCACATGCTGCCATATCAAACCAATCGGCCTAATTACTGCTTACAAATAATCCCTTACTTCATTCTCTACTAACATATCAGTATTGTCTAATTCCAATCTTTACACGACACTCTTAAATATCAATCACTTTTATACAAATCACTCCCATTAACTACAACACACAGCTTTGTTTACTTAAATTAAAACATTCAATACATAACATAAAATAAATAAAGTTTACATCGAAAATCATTTGGATTTTGTTTCGATTTCATTAATATACAAACATGTTTACACGACGTTTTACGCCAATTCAGATACTTAATGAAAAACTAATAATTTCATAAAAATAAATTCGACAAAGCGCCCGTGTACACAAATCTTATATACTTAAAATTATGCAATTTCCTATCTTGTCGATATAGATATAAGAGCTACATTTGTACACCATACCATCCCTATAAGGTGGGGCTACGTTACTCAGTGCTTAGTAATACTATTTACCTGATTGAGATTACTTTAGCTTTGGGCAAGTCCTGTGTAGTCCTAGGGGACTGAGAGTATGGTAAGCAGTTCAACTGGGCGTGTCGTCCTTTTTAGTGGGTGTTTTTGGATCCGCAGACGGCGCAGCTGATGAACTTGATTGGGTATCTGCGTCTGAAATAAACAAGATAGACATAAGAAAGTCGCTTTGAAATAATTTCATACTATTCATAGCGAACCAGTGTTATTTAACAAACTATGTTCATAATATATGGAACGAAATACTTGACACGTTATGTAACGGTCGGAACTATGGAGCTGGCAGAATAATTTAGCAACAAACGTGCTAGTGACGTAAGATCGGTTACGAAACACTAGTTTGCAAGGACTAAGTACCCTTGAAATAACCACTGGCCTTTGACTGAATGACTTCTATCGACTAGATTACATAATACACAACTGCATTGGGTTCGTGACAACGTTGTTGTAACAATCAATTAACGTGGAATATTTTGTAGGTACGACAGTGCTAAAGACCTTGAAATACTGAATACTAGTAACCCACCCCGACTTTGCACGGGTGCAATATGCATGTATTATACATATATTATACACCTTTCTTAAGAATCACTAAAAAACCGCATTAAAATCCGATACCTTCCTTAAGAATCACTCTATCAATTAAAAAAACCGCATCAAAATCCGTTGCGTAGTTTTAAAGATCTAAGCATACATAGGGACAGACAGACGGCGGATAGCGACTTTGTTTTATACTATGTAGTGAAGTGACTAATTTTAGTTCCAAGATAAAATAAAAAAAACTACGATAACATATCAAAAGCAAACTTTTCGATTTTAAATAATAATAATTATGAAGAGATTTCATCTAAATAGGATTAGAGTAACATTTTTTTTAAGCCCAACACAAGTATTGTATTGTAATTCTTGAGATAATAAAACAATTTTAATTTTCTATATCGCAACGAGGCTCAAGATGTACAAGTTCTTCTTGACTTCCATTGCTGTGTTAAGAGTAGTCGAGACTCCTTAAAGATATTTTCTAAGGTGATACCTAGATTAAAATCTTAGCTCACCACAAGTCGACTTTAAGGTGCAAAATCTCGTCAAAACAGTGTTACATTAATTTTACACGAGCTTTGCAAGTTTAAAAGTAGTTCTTTCTAAAATAACTACAATATTAATAGGGCAAATTACAGAATATTTACGAAGCGTGACCTATGCTGTTCTGAATGCGGTCTAGAGTTCTAGACTCTAACATTTTGGTAATAAGGTTTTTTCGTTTACGAAAGAAGTTTGTGGACTGGATCAGTGACTGCAAGGTCTTACGTTCTTCTTACAGTTACGACACTGAAAGTGATAGTGATATCGATCCCATATTACGTAACGTATAGGGTTACGACCTTTCATATAACAGAAGTCAAATAAAAATCCAATTTAATATTGGCATTGTAATAATGCAATATTGAAACTTAAGAACTATAAACTTGATCGCAATGAACCACAACGAAAGTAAAAGAAATGTATACGCGAATATTAACATTATTTGACCAAGCCACTTCTTAACGGAAACGACTTAGAATAAGTATATCCTAATGTATGTCAGGATAATATTTTGATACCCAACTCGGAACCGAATTCGAGACCTCTAGTCCAGACGACGTTACTTTCACTCCACCAAGGAGGTGATCAATATTAAATCAACTGAAAATATTTAATTTTGTCTCAGCTAGGGAAGGGACTATCGTCAAATATTTCTATCATAACGATCTAATCATATTTTGTAATTTGTATATTCCGGAAAATTGCGACTACATCTTAAGACATTCCAGCCGCGGTAGGTATGTATATTTAAAAGAGGGGCAGCAAATTAGATTGTGAGGGGGCGGCAAATTCCCTTATTGAATCATCAGGGTAAATTCTACGCAAAAGCCTGCAAAGATCGTTTGTGAATTTCCTTGATGAAATATGAATTACGCGAATGTAGGTCAGCTGTTCTTTTTGAAACATTGTAATGAGTAGGAAACAACCTTTGGTTGGTTGTATCAAAATAATATCGCGTCTCATATGCCCCGAAAAGGTAGGCCTGGTGGAAGTGTTAGTAATGATACAACACCCACATTTAGCGAATTATATTTTTACTCATTAAAAATCATTGTTACAGGGATTGCCGTATGTGGTGTTTTTGTAACGAGATTTATTTCTTTGCTGTCATACTTGCGACCACTCGACAGACAAAGCAATCAGTATACGTTACCTTCGTACAGTAACGTCCAAGATCGATACGATCACGGTTTACTTAAACATCATTATTATTGTTTTCCAATGAAATACGAATGTTTGAAATACTAGCTTCTGCCCGCGACTTCGTACACGCCAACCCGTTTTCTCCCGTTCCCATAAGATTTTCATAATTTTTTTCTATCATAAGAACCTTCTCCTGACAATAACAAACACAACAAAAAAAAGATCAGCCAAATCGGTCTAGCCGTTCTCAAGTAATGGCGTGTCAACGGGAACCGGGTTTCATTTTATATACGACGAATTATTATTGGCTGTAAAATAACTAGGTAAAGTCCGGAATATATGCAGTACAAGGACCTAAAGTATATGCATCAAAAAGCCTGAAATAACCAATGTTTGATGCGCTAAAAATATGCATTATAAAGATTTCGTAAGCAAAACTAAAGTCCCTGGTGCCAAACTGCCAATGCCACTTTTGGAACCTTCAAAATTAGATTCTTGGCCAAATTTTGTCACAACTTTTTAGACAAAAGTGAGTTTCTAGTTTCTTGCGCCGAAACATACATGACCAACATAAATATGCACTAACACAATAATTACAGAGATTGTATACAATTGCATATAATTCAATCTCTACTTATAACTATTGCATCTACAGCGATATTTCATCACCTTTTAGACTGCAGTTGCAATAATCTGCCCTACTTGCCTGTGACCAATAAAATTCCGATCTCGATACGAATTCTTTTACAAATGGCGTAATATTACGCTTTATTTTCAAAGGGTTAAAGCAGAATTGTGTAACGTCTTGACATAGTAGTTATTCCCTAATAAGGTTGGCAGAAGTGTAGGTACTTATGCCTGCGCTAATAATTTTATAGAGTACTGTAGCCGAGAATCATTGTGAATTTACAGAACAATGGGACTGCCAATCATATTTCTTATTAAAACTTATTGTATGTATACCGGTATAGTGCGGGGATTGGATTCGTACTGAAACTGGAGAAATGCAACAAAAGATACGCATGATGAGAAGGGTTCTCCTTTATCATGAGCCCTATTATTTCACCTTCCGTATAACACACAAACTACCCACATCAACCCTACAATTCCGGTAACACTATTATACCTAAGTACACGAATTATAGTTTTCAAAGAAATACCCTCGGCCTTGCAATCAGCGTCCACTTTACACGGTTCGAGTACAATAGAACGCGAATAGAATGGCCAGTTATTGAAGGGGATTTTATCGTCCTTTTACGGTATTACAATATTACAGTACTAAGCTTGTTGTAAGCCTAAAGGGTAAACAGAAGTACTCATATTATTTAAAAATGTAATATATATATTTTTTTTAAACGTGCCCCACATTAGTATTTTCTCCTGTGTCGTGGGTGCGTTTACAAACGTACAAGTTCACATACACAATGACACCCAGACCCGAAACAACAATTTGTGGATCACACAAAATGTTGTTCCGTGCGGGAATCGAACCCGCGACACGTTGCACGGCAGCCGGTTGTCCAGCCACCGTACTAACCGTGCAGTCTAATCTCTTTTAATTGTAATATAAGGTGGTCCCCGTTGCAGATCCCGTTCAAGACGTAATTTATATCATTGTGCCTAGTTCAAACCACTACATGATTTAATATAAAATCGAATACATAGTCCTTAGTCCGCACCAAAGAACGGCCACATCACAGTGGTTTCACATCGCCGCCACATTCAATATTGTGAGAAGGTCGAGCCTTCCCACAACATTCAGTCGTCTGTCTACATAAACTTTGAATTGCGATCGTTTAATTATTCAGTGAATATCCACAGACTTTCCATAACAGTATTGGATGTTGAATCTCTGATTGCTATCATACAATCCCGCAGTGATAATTGTAATCATCTAGGTCAGTAGACTGTTAGGTTATCGTCACATGTGTGAATCCACGTGAATTTTACACGTGGATCGTCTCCACAGATGCCATAAAGTCTCTTAGACTCGAAGGGATTTAGATCAAATAGATACAAATTTCCGAAACTAATTCGGAATTAATTGAATTCGGAACTTAAACTGTCAAACACCAAGCGGTCACCGGTGACCGCAACCTATTGTTCTATAATTGTGCCTATAATGACGGTACTCGACGAGTTAATAGGGTAGATGCCTAATTTTCATTTTAATGTCTGTCTGGTAGATTATTTTAAATCATTAGACACGTATTTTTTATTTTCTTACAGAAACGAATACTTTCGACGATATATTGATTTGAAATGTCGCGTGACGTCACTTCTATGTACATTTCATACGTAGAAATGACGTCTTAGCCCCCACTCCTAAAGTTTGATTCGTTTTATTTAAGTATTGTTTTATTATACGTTAAAATAAAAAAATACGTGTCTAATATTTTTTCATTACCTAAATTACGGACTAATTATACATGAATTCTTGAAACATCCCAACTGTTCTTATTAGATATATTTATATTCAGATAAAAGTTTTGATTATTTCCCACAAACTATTAGGCAGAGTTGTTTATTTCACTTAACGAACAAATTCCCATGGAAACAATGATTGATTATCTTATAATTATAGTGGCGATAATTTTATATTTTGTGTCATCAATTCATCATATTGCAAGATATAATATTAGTTCCAACGTCATAGTGCGATAACCTGTGCTTATCGGCGCATTACGAGCCGATCTACGTCACTCCTAGCCCTCAATTACTGTAGTGACAGGAGGATTGCGATAAGCGAATATATCGTAAACAATATCTAAAACTATCGCATATTATATCGCGCTGCAGTCACGTTGGAAATAAATGTTTACAACAAAGTCTCACTGAAAACTGAGAACGGCTAGACTGATTTTCATGACGTTTTCTGATTCAATGGATCAGTTTTCGTCTTGTCCTGAATAGTAGCAAACTTATCGATGAAAACTTATTTAGTACTAGTTTAGTTACTACAGAATAATCAATATTTATTATAACTGCAACATTTTCCAGCTATGATTGTTAGTGTTTCCAACCAGAACTAAATTAACATTGGTAAACAATTTCGAACTCGTATTATATTTCAAACTAGCTACTTCCGCGCAGTTTCACTCGCTCTGCTCGGCGCCTATTAATCGAAGCGTAATATTTTATAGCCTTCCTCGATAAATGGGCTATCCAACAAAGAAATAATTTTTCAAATCGGACCAGGAGTTTCGGAGATTAGCGCGTTCAAACAAACAAACAAAAAAACAAACTCTTCAGCTTTATAATATTAGTATACATTGTTTTGACAGCATTTCACAACTAATTTCGGAACTATCGAAACGATCTACTAATTGATGAAGCTAGGCATTTTTTTAATTAGTATTATCGACCACACCAAAGAGCACAACATTATTAATATTGGATAGAATTGAGGTTACTCCGTAGAAAACACATAAGTACCTAGCTATCCTACATTTACCAAGAACCACAATCGATTTTACTCGTTATCGAGAGGTTTCTAGAAGCAAAGGGACATAAGTCAGAAATGGTTGATTTTGTTGACCATCCAACGCATGAAAGAACTTGAACGCCATTTATAAGCTGACAAAAGCGTAACCTAACATTGTTTTATAAATGTTGAATTTAAATCATAGACTAAACCCTTGTCGCGGAGAACCTAACGGGTTACCGGGGCTCCGGCACGACGTGCAAGAGAAGGAACGGGGTGGTTTTTAGTAATTAAGAGTCTGACACTCCGCCCCGCCTCACCCAGACGGGAGCAGCCATTCGATGATTTTCAACCCTTAAAAAAAGACTAAACCCTTAGTTCTGGAACTCTAAACGTACGAGTAGATAGAAGAGACCATTTCAAAATAAACATCGGTAAAAGTACGTACGGATTTGGAACACGTCTTTTAATTACGAGTTAATGACGCAGGGTAACAAAATACGTCAATCTCAGGACCAATGTGCTACCGGCAGTTACCAAGAATGTAGGTACGGTCACCACAAATTACATGGGAATTACTGCAAAAGATCTAAAGCAGATTTTAGATTACAAATGTGTGTAAGCAATTACATTACGTGGTTTGCAATTTCTGGCTCGTTGCCCAAAATTGTATTAGTTTACCGCGGTTATTCCGGAGTCATGTGGACGCTGACGCTTTTCCTACGTAGCTCAACTATTTATTTGTGTATTTTAACACCTAAATTCAGAAAAAAAAACGTTTGACGTCGACAACACGTCACGAAAATGAAAGCTACAGAACGGATGTTGTGCAAAAACAATGCTTCAACACATTTCCGTTCGCTTCAATCAACACAACAGATAAAGACCGGTCGATTTACAATCTTATAGAACTTGGAAATTTTATTAAAAGATCAATTGATATTGTATACAACTACATTTAAACATACAGTTACAATCCAATTATGTTGGCGCAGCAGTAATAAATTTTATCGTAAGATAAATAGGTACGAGTATATACTGATAATTATTTTAGGCTTAGAGGGTAATAAACGGTGATAGTGGCCGTATAATCTTAGGGCAAACGTAAATACATTGCGAACAGAACTAATACGACTAATAGCCGCACCTTGAATAAGAATTTAACGGTTACTATGGTCTATAGGTATTGACAGATTGTAATCCCCTTAATTGAAGTTGGATTATGGACTAAGGTACAATATATTCGAACTTGGCCGAATATGAATCAGATTTATATCACTACTAGCGACTCGCCCCAGCTCCGCACGGGTACATTATACATGTATTATACATACAAACCTTTTTTAAGAATCACTCTATCTACCTCTAGTAAAAAACCGCATCAAAGTCCGTTGCGTAGTTTTAAACATCTAAGCATACATAGGGACAGACAGACGGCGGATAGAGACCCTGTTTTATACTATGTAGTGATGACAACATGCTACACTTAGTAAAAAAACTATCAGCAATACGATACCTTTCGCAAATGTTCCTCATAACTGATATAAATAATTTCTGTATTTATTTTAAACAACACCTGAACCTCAAACATTTTTTAAGATTTCGTGTTCAACCTATGACCTTTAGCTTTCATATTTAGGTATTGACCCTCGTAGATGAAAAGGAACGATACCTAGCTAGGTAACTGAAAATGGATTACTAACAATAGCGTAAAGTAATTGTTGGTAATTGTTATGGGTACGCAAGCTAAATAAAAAAAGGGTCGATGTTGAGGTGGTACTTTTTTGGAACCCTAATGGAAAGAGAAAAGGGTTAACTCGTCGAGTACCGGTTTTGTAGACACAATTATAGAACAATAGGTTGCGGTCACCGGTGACCGCTTGGTGTCTGACAGTTTAATAGGATTTACAGGTACTATGTACTAAACTTACCGGCGGCAGTAAGCTGCTGCAGCCTGGAGGGCAAGTCTGCAGTTGTAGCTTCAGCGTTCTGTGGGTGAAGTATATCCGGCATCGCGTTCCTTCGTCCCGTCCGTCCCGTCTCCAGAAATTCCTTCGGTACCTCACTATTTCCTTCCTGCATGATTGCCATCATTCTCAGTACTGAAAACATTTAAATTAGTAAATTTTATCGCTGGTAACTTCATTAAAAGTTTAAGGGTTGTTTATCATTTAAATAGACCCTGAAATGTTAAGAGACATTCTTGACGTTCTATGATGTCAAAGACTTAACAAAGTCACGCCACGCATGACTGATAAGAAAGGTATCACACGACGTGCCGCGTATCTTCAATTCAACACGATATTGTACGATCATATTGTGTTTACACACATGAATAGCAACAATAATACAGTCCCGTTTAACCGCCAGTCGGTCTGTGTGACATGTCAATTAAATTTTTCTTTTTGCGACTGGACATTCCCACTTATTATCATTATCGTTGAATAAATAAATAGCTTTGTTGCTATTTCTATAGAGTTGCTTTTTACGGGGCCTTTGAACAGCTGGGCTCGTTCGTGTCCGATCGATTTTTAATACCGCTGAACGTAATTAAATATTATCGTCGGTGTCAGGGTCGATTACGGCGACCATAAATGTATTGGCGCTAATAAAGGGATAAAACGCGTAACAGAAAGTTGGCAACTGTTTAGCCAACGAAAGATTATAAAGGTTATCAATATGTGGAGCAATACTATTCCTACTATCTAATTAGATAAGATAAGGCACGAGGAAAATACTTTAGGACTACCGACTAATGACGTAAATAGGTTGTTAATCTCAATTACGGAGACATACGAATGCTCTTTCCATATCAAGGCATCTGTTGCGTTATTTGGCTGTTGAAAATGCCTTCTAGAATGACGACATTCAAAATTTTAATGTATTGCGCGCCGACGCAGACTAACGCTAATTACCATAATAGTTTTAATGCCAAATTCTTAAATATACTTCTGTCTGATTTTTAAATACTGAGATACTTAAAGCATGGAATTCGACAACCGCGACGATCCATCTTTGTGAAGTTTTGGGGATTTTGGTGGGAAATTCCCTAATGATAAACAAATAACAGTGGCTATGTATTTGTGTATTATTCGTGTTACACTTCAAGTGTTAAAAGTTATTTTTAACAACTTGTTAACAGGGGGAAATAGATTGAAGTGGTCAGCTGCACATTAAACGCGTGGTAAAGATTCCCGAATGTTTCAGTCTCGAAAATGCAACACTAAAAAATAATATTGTGGTAATAATAAACCAGACTGTTGTTTAAGGAAAGTTTTAATGCATAATTTACTAAGGTTCTGTGAGGTGGCCATGCAAAACAAGGCCAGCTTGTTAATAACAAATTTTTATGCTACATTTCTGTTACAAAACTACTTCTTTCATCTCAACTTAGTAGAACATAGTTTTTAAGATATATAGACTCATACTTATACATTGTGTATTAACACTAAATAAAATCAGCTCAGCTACTCATTTAAAATGTAGTTTTATCTACAACTATCTATACTTAGTTATATCTTCAATAATTGTTCAAAGAAGTTCCATTGTTATGCTAATTATGAGACCTGATTTCAAAGCAGTATCTATGTCCTTTCAACAGTCAATGGTGTAGTGACGCAACCATCTACCTACTTACAATATTTATATTTAGACTACATCACACAATAAAAACTCCTTATAGACAAGATTCTAAAACAAACTGGTTGTTTTTATAGCAGAAGTTAATCTTTAATAGCTTTAAGTGAGATGACTCAGTGCTATTATAAAGCATCTGTGGAAAAAACTAGTTAGATTTGACAAACAGTTTGATGTCAATAGATAATTATATGTGTAGGTGTATAACTACCTTGCAAGTTATATAAATGTGAGAGTTCTTTGGCTACAGAATATAATTATAAGATAAAAGCTATATTTATGTAGATAGATGCAGCACAGTCTGATTAGATCTTTATTGTAATTAATTACGTAGATACATAATCTCTTTAAAGACCACTTCACCAGACGATGCTGTCTATTACTCTTAAAAATAATTAAAAACTACCAAACATGCAACCAAACTGTTCAAATGGAAGAATTTTAAAAACATGCATTAACCATAAACTGTTTAAAAATATGTACATGAAAGTAAAAGACCCAAAACGTCCATTGTTTTTGGAAAAAAGGAAACATAGATAATTAAAATGCAACAGTTATGTACCATTTCATCCCAATAATCTTCGGTGGCTGCTTAGAAGTTGCTTCCCAAGTTGATCTAAGAGATTGTCACTCTACACACATCATGCACCTCACAGTCCTGGATTGATACAAGTTGTTTGTTAGTATGCATATTCAGGTAACTACTGTTAAGGCAAACCAATTTTCTATTTGATAGCAAATGTTAGTCTCCTGTTACATATATAGTCAGAATTTTAATTCGATTCCAGATTTGACAATAGCTACTGTCATTTTGTAAAATAATGATACCACATATAATAGTGTAGTGATGAACACCAAGATCGATAAACAATCATTGTGTGTGTTTTATAATAAATGTTACAGAAAGTGACAGGATAGTGATAGCGATGACGGCGACAATTTATAAAATAACTTATTACTATAATACATCTATCTGTTTTATTTGTCATGTTCCTTCATGATTACATTTTTTTATTTATTTCACACACAATTATAAAAGAAAAGTCTTAGATCGTTGATTAATCGTCAAAACTAAATTATCGGTTCAGAAATATTTAATTTGCTGATATACTTAGTTTACGGGAGTAAAATTATAAACGAGAAGAATCGATCCAGAAATATCGGATTTCCATATCGAATAATTTCGCAACGTCACTATTTAGTACTTGTCATAACGTAGCAACACTGAAATTGTCAAATCTGGAATCGAATTAAAATTCCGAGTATAGTATCCAATTTGTTTAGGCTGTAGGCTTAGTGGCCTTTGTCATTTTAAAGCAGCATTGTTCACAATTGTCAATGGGTTGTTTAGAACTACTCTAGTCTCTGACCTACATCTGACTATAATTTAAATTCTTTATTGCTCTTTTTATATGTTGGCAAAAAATAAATGGTCATGTCTACTCTATGTTTATTATGGACTTGTAATTATAAAGATCTGGAGTCAGCAAATTATTTATTTCTACTGTACATAGTGCTGGTACATTGAAATTCCTATTGGAATATTTTCTTTTGTTACTTGTAGGTAGATAGTAAATTGAAAAAAATCCCATTATTCAATAAACTCCCACATGGGTCTAATCAACAGTCAATTATGATGAGGATACCATGAATACAATTTATCTGCTTAAAATTGATTTAAACGAAATTTGACAACTTCTATAATTAATAACTGGAGCTAAGAGATACTATGAAGTGGACCCGAATAGTGATAGCATGAATAGGCGTATGAAGGTCTAGCCAGTCGTAATGTCTCAAACAAGCAGAACACTACTCAAAATGAAAATCTCCAAGCGGTAATCAAAGTGGTCGTTCAAGCGCGGCCCCAGCATGCGGCCCTCTCGTACCTGTACTATTCTTAACGCGACGGTCCCTCCTATGTTTAGAGACACGACCTGATAGAACCTCCGACATTTTTTACTCAACAACAATAACCACAAAACGTATTAACTTCACACAAAAATTATTGATTCAGATACTCGAAAACGGTACTCATAATCACCTCAATTTATATTTTCAAACTACACTGAACTGTAGTAACACGCCTATTCAAACACACAATTTTAACATGTAGTTCTTATAAAAAATCTAATTTATCCAATTTTCATATAGCTTCTAATTTACTTTACAGTAAAAGAGCGTGCACTAAAATCACAGTTAATCACAAAAGAAAGACGAAAGGAAATTGTGACATGTCGAGGCCATGACAACTTTGACGTGAAAATGACAACTGTCAACTGATAAAAATTACAAAACAGTATGAATATGGTATGAATAGGCCGATGATGCCAACGGAAATAAAAAGACAACTTTTATTTGGTTCTTTCATTAAATAGGTATCACAATTTTAAAACGTTCCGATAACTATGAATTCGTCTATTAATTATTCATCCTTCTATATTTAAGAACGTTTTTCTCCATTAGTGGCGTCATGGCGTGCCATTGGAGAGACCTATATCCAGCCGTGGACGAACACAGGCTGATGATGATGAAGTAATATAAGTGCCTAAGTAAATATTTATATTGTGCTTTAGCCTTTATATAACCGTGAAGACAAGAGGTTGCTCGTGACTACTCTTGGCAGACAAGTAAAAATAAAATAAACATTTATTTTTACTATTTCGTAAAAATATTGGCAATCTACATTGTTGAAAATTGAAAACCAAAACTAGCAACACTATTTTCAGCTGTCATCAACCAGCTGATAAATCGAGATTTTGTTACATACAACATTTATGTAATTTTTGCTGTGAAACATCTCTTTAGAGGTAAATTTCTCATAATCTCATGTTTTCATAACATTTCACATCGATTGATGAGAATATTTGTACTAATATGTTAATTTTTAATGTTTATATAGATGCTACGAAAAGTAGTGTTAGGTTCTGTTGGAGTGGCTACACTCATACCGGCGGTTGGTGCTGCTACTCCCATCAAGGATGACCCACCAAGTCTTCAAAAGCCCCCTCTAATGAAGCCCTCCGATCTGCCGGTTTATGAAACTCCACATGCCGATTATGTTGAGTATGTTTTTATTCATTTTACTGATTAATTTTGCTAGATCTCTTGGATTTTTTGAGTAAAACTTCTAATGAGTATATAAAATAAAATATTAATACCTACAAAAAACCTCTTAATATACCTACAATCATAATAGACTATTTTCATTGACATTCCTTTAAAAATGAATACATAAAAATCTATGCAAAGAGAGTCGAGCTTTAATTAATGCTCTTTCATCATTAAAACCTAAAATACTTTGCCAAAATAGGTAGGTATGTAACACAGAAAACCCATACTCATTCATATCTTTAGTAAATTATCTACTTGTCAACAAAATACTGATAACTTAAGATAAAACAATTCCAAGTGCAGGTAACATAAATAAATAATTATTGTAAACTTTTTAAATTCTAGAAAGGTCAAGTCAAAGGGTGGTAAAGATGAGGTTGGTTATGTGAGGTCAGTGCTCTTGGCCCCTGTCCGTGCAGTACGTGAGCAGGTGCAGATTGTTGTGGACCACACAGACCGTGCCAAACATGCGATACAAGATCAATACACTGAGCTGCAAGATAAAACTGGTTGTAAGTTGATTTTTTACTGTTGCTTATGATTATTTTTATTTAATTAATTATTTTATATGGCTCTAGTTTCAAGTCATATAATTTTAATATTAACTAAAACAAGATTCTTAGTTCACATATTTTATGAAAAGTAATATTAAATTAACTGCTTGAAACTGTACAATAGAAAATACATAGTATCTCGGTGGATCCGCATTTAGGCACATGATGGGTTAAAAGCCTCCAATTTTATTTTCAGTGTTTTGTTGACAGATAGCTCTAATTTATTACAACAAATATTTCAGGGATCTTCAAATATCTTCGAGAAGAAGAGAACAAGCAGGTCCGATATGGTGCTGTGGCAATGGGAGGTCTGACTGGTTTCATATTTGGTCTTAGAGGCGGGATTATCAGGGTATGTTGGATATTTCTTGCTATTGGTTTAAACCAACTAATTAATATTAGCATAACACAAAAATAATTTCATACAGTGGGAAAGCAAAAAGAAAGTCCCCCCTCCCCCTCCCCGTGTTCAGTGGAGTTCAGATGGCACTTTTTCCATGTGTGCACATATAAAATATACCACCCATTTTTCACAAATTGTGTTATGTGGATCATGGTCAAGCTTATTGCCATATTGACCCTAATATTTACAATATTTATTTGTTTTCCAAAAAAAATTTGTCATTCAAGTAATGCCTATCAATGCCTATTGTTTTCATCGGCTATTTATTGATTACCACTTTATTATTCCAGCGGGTATTTTACGCCAGTGCTACCACCACAGCTATGGGGTATGTGTGTTTCCCTGAAGAAACAAAAGACATTATGAAGAACAATTCGGCCCTAGCTAAACAATATGTCAACATTGCATACAACTTTTTATATGGAGGTAAAGTAATAACTTCATATTTATGTATACTCAGACAGTCTATGTAATAAAGTAATCAAGATATCCATCAAGTCTTGACAATCTGAATGAATACTTTTTGGAGTAACTTTTCAACAATGTGAAATGAAATAATCAAAATTCTAAAACAATTTATCAGTGAAACCCGGTGATCCTCAACTGGAGGTGAAGTTCCCTGAGCTGTCATTCCCCAAAGACTTTTCCGAGTTCATGGATATGACAGTATCTTTGGCATCATCAGTGAAGCAGGCGGTAATGCCTCCGCCTGCTAAAGAGGAAGTAAAACCAGACGAAAAAAAAGAATAGGTATTCATGGGAATGGTTTCGGAATGGTGCAAGTGCTTATGTTTATGAGTTTGACTAGTGTTGCCAGAAAGCATTTGTTTTTCTTTTAAAACAACGACGCACCACTAGTGAAGATTTTCTGTGTTGTGACGTGGATCTGTTTACAAATATTTACATAAATACATAACAGATTTTTTTAATAAACTCGAGTCTGAATCTCGATATTAAATTTTTTTTAAACATTTCCCCATACTCTTTTCTCTTATGCCGTGGGTGCATTTACAAACTTACAAGTGAGAGTATGTGATAGTAACTGTAATTATTTTGTAGATCACACGAAGAGTTGGTCCGAGCGGAAATTGAGCCCCGCTACACGTTATTTTTAAAGCGTTTCCTGAAAATAATATTTTTTTAATGTTTAGCCACGCAATAGGCTCATATTCGTCACAAGACGCGACGGGCTTTTATAATTTGTTTGTATGCAGTTACAACATTTCATAATATTTCTAAGAGTTCTAGGGACACAAGGCAACACTAGGTCTAATTCTAATGCTTGCTTCTATTTCTTTCTGTTAATTGCATCGTGTTTCTGCTTTGGTTGTCAGTATTATTTATACTTGTTGTATATCTCATAATCTCACTTTGATTCAATTTACTTTATCCTATCTAGTATTTTGGACTATGCAGTGTGCATCCTGAAATTTAAGTTTTGTTTGCTTTTGTTCGTGAAGCAAAATATTTCACATTTTGGTTGTAATTAACAATATTAGTTAGGTACCTATTAACAGTGGCGTAACTACCTACAGGGTGGTAAGTCGGCAAAACGTCAAGAGCCCCCAGTTAGAAGGGGCTTAGGGGTTCAGAGGTTTTCATTTAAACTTCTCTCTTTTTAAAAGGAATGGAGGCCCATCCGATGGATTTACCACAGACTTTAAACAATATACATAGTTATGTCACTGCCTATTAAACTCTTTTTTTTTATTAAATAAATGAATGCTTGACATCATTTCTCATTAATTTTTGTTTTCTCTTGCTTTCAATGCATGTGGGATTTTGTTTGTTTCTTTTGACAGTGTTATTTTTATAATTATTATAATAGCTATTTGTTATTCGTTTTCAGATTATTTTACAAAAGATGAAGTAGATGAACAAGCAGTTCCAGGTTGGTAACACAAAAACCGGACTATTTAATTTATTCACTCTTGAAATGTAGTATTTCAACTACGACGAATCAGTCGGGAAGTCAAAGATAATAGGGGTTTTTTTTATATCCAAGTTCTTTTTATTGGATATACCCGACAATTTTACACATCACCCTTATCTAGCTACAATCATCATGCAAGGTTTATTTGACAATTTACGCTATTACGTAATCGCAATACAGATTCCCGCCTTGCTACCTGTAATGCCAAATATGATGTAGTAGTTGGTGGTATTTACTCTGATTTATTTTTTAATATGTACCTAATACCTACTACTTGTCTCGTCGATTGAAATTTTAGTTTTTTGCGTACTTGTAACTGTAGTTATGGGTTATCTGTAGGCAGCGTTAGGTTGACTGGATTATATAATCAATTACCTACTTTAGTAAAAATAATAATTTGCTATCTTCTATTTCAGCACCATGAAGACGAAAAGTCGACTACAGAAACCGTTATAGTGAAATAAAATTTATTTATTGTTTGCTAGTTAAAGTGTAATACAATCAACATGAATGTAATTATTAAAACAAATTATATTTTTCATTACATTTTATTTTATGATAACACAATACACAAATGTTGAATTACATTAGAATTACTCTTATGCAAATATCATTTCCTCTCGTCTTTTCTTCGTGACTACCGTACCAGGCTTATGTTGAGCCTCGGGATGGTTCATCAGCTCAGGCGGACACGTAGAGACAGAACTCGCAAGCAACACTTGCTTAAGATCGTAGAACAACGCCGAATCTTCTTTCGTGACGAATGATATAGCTTTACCAGTTTTGCCCGCACGACCAGTACGACCGATACGATGCGTATAGTCTTCTATAGTCTTCGCCATGTCGTAGTTGATAACCATACTGACGTCCTTGATGTCAATACCACGACCAGCGACATCTGTTGCCACCAGAATGTCTTTCGAACCATTCTTAAGACTGGCAAGTGCAAAGTCACGCTGTTCTTGTCCTTTACCACCGTGCAGTGTACACGCATTGAAACCCAACTTTTCCAAACCTTTAGCCAGGACATCTGCTCCTTTCTTCTGGTTGACGAAAATAATAATTGGAGGTTCGACTCCTCTCTGTAATATCTCCGTCAACTTTCTACGTTTCTCATTTTCGCCGATCATGTAAACAACTTGTTCTGTTCGGTCTACTGGTTTACCAACAGAGCCAATGTATACTATAGCTGGTCTACGCAAATAACTCCTCGCTAAACGCTCCACTGCGGGAGGCATAGTAGCTGTAAACATCACAGTTTGTCTGAATTTCTTTTTAGAATTGTAGTTAGCTAACAAAACTGAGGCGTCTTCAGCAGCATCTGAATCTGGTTTGATGTTAGAAACTGGCATGTATTCTAGAATTTTTTGGACATCAGGTTCGAAACCCATGTCTATCATACGATCAGCTTCGTCGAGGACTACATACGTACAACGGTTTAGGACCAAGTATCTGTTTTCTAAGACATCGATAAGACGACCTGGTGTCGCAATAACTATTTCACATCCTAATCTGAGTTTGAAACCCTGTTCCTCTCTTGACAGACCTCCCACTACAACAACAGATGTAATACCCAAAGGAATTCCAAATTTATTTGTCTCTTCCTCTATCTGTTGCGCCAACTCACGTGTTGGAGCTAAAATAATAGCATATGGCCCTTGATCAGCATCTTCCAAACGCTCGTTTTTCGGGAGCGATTGAATCCAAGTAAGTAGAGGTATAAGGAATGCCAATGTTTTACCCGAACCAGTTTCTGCAACACCAATGATATCTCTATTTTGTAAACCAATAGGAATAGCCTGTCTTTGAATAGGTGTTGGACTTTTATAGCCAACTTTGCCTATAATTTCCATAATATCAGGATGGAAGCCAGCTTCCTTCCAATTTCTGATAGGATTTGGAATCTTGCCACCTTTAATGGTAATGTTATAATCTTCTCTGAAAATACGCCAATCCCTTTCTGTCATTTCATCTTGATCTTTTTCAGACCAATGACGATCATCCCATTTTTGCTTATCTTCCTTCTTTTTAACTTTCTTAAGACGTAACTTCTCTTGTTCTTTTTCTAGTTCTGTCCTGCGTTTCTCTAGTAGGTTACCATAGAACTTGCTGTAGTCTTTCTTCTGTGACTTTATATCAATACCAGCAATGTGACCACGGCCAAAGAACTGGACTTGATGTCTTTCTTTATAAAGTGCATTGTAATCATTTGATGTGTCTTCAGATGCATCCCAATCAAAAACAAATTTACGGTCGTTCAATCTTCTTACTCTGCGTTTCTTCTTTACAATGCCAAGGTAACGAGCCTTGATGGCCTCTTCTTCACGTTCCTTATCTTTTGTTTTTGAAACCTCTTCATTTTTTTCCTTCTTATCTTCTCTGCGATCACTCATAGACTTTCTTTCCTCATATTTCCTTTCCCTCTCCCTTTCTCTCTCATCCCGTCTTTCTCTTTCCTTTTCTCTCATAGCTTCTCTTTCATCTCTATATTTCTTCATTTCTTCTTCTCTTTTAGACGGGCCTGTAAGATCTATTGTAGTTATAGAAGGCCTGTCAGTGTTAGCTCTAATAGCGTCCACTTGCTTTTGCCGCCTTTCTAAAGCTAGAGCAGCTCTTTGCTCTTTAGTTAAGAAAACTGGTTTACTGCGAGCTTCTTCTTCTGCTTTTTTTTTGGCAAGTAGTTCCTCTAGAGACAGTGGCTCTTTCTTTACTGGTTTCATTTCCACTTCTTTAGAATCTTGTGGCTCTTCCTCCTCCGTTTTAGTGTCTTCATCTTTTTTGCTTTTTGACTTTTCCTTATCATCATGTTTTCTCCTGCTTTCTGATTCTTTTTCTTTGCCATCACGTTTCTTGGGGCTACGTGAGCGACCACGTTCACGATCTCGCCGGCTAGGGCTCCGCGATCTGTCCTTTTCCTTTCGGGAAGGACTTCGGGAACGATCTTTATCTTTGTCCTTATCTTTTCGTGAAGGGCTTCGAGTTCGGTCGCTATCTTTATCTTTCCGAGCAGGGCTACGAGCTCGATCGTTGTCTTTCTCTTTCCGTGTAGGACTTCGGGATCGGTCTTTATCTTTTCGTCCAGGGCTACGAGATCTATCTCTATCTTTCCTCGACGGGCTCCGTGACCTTTCTCGTTCCTTCCTAGGGCTGCGAGATCGTTCCCGACGTTTGGTTTTGTCTCGATGAGACTCTCGATCGCGGTCGTCGTGCCGGTCTTTGTCGCGTCTTTCTCGTGAGCGCGAGCGTCTACGTTCAGGGCTCCTATCTCGTGCCATCGTTTAATTTTCACAATTTTATAACATATATGACATTAGACAAGTTACCACGCATAGTTATTACACCATAAATCCCAACTTACGGCTTATTTTTAAGATGGCATGACGTCGTTTTATTTGACACTGACAGTTTCAGTTTTTAACCATAAACCACTACAAAGACATAATTATTGCCAGATAGCAATATGTTACTTCAACAACAACTTCAACTCCGTTTAACTTTTAATCCTACTAGGTTTAACGTACATACATACCTAATTAAAAATCTAATAAACATATGGGAATGTTTTAATTCACTAATCAATTATTGTGTTAATAAACATGTAATTATAACTTTGTAATCTTTTGGCGTCCTACTTCTTACTCTCTTTATTTTGGCAACTTTTATATTAAATCAAAGAGCAAATCGTGAGTTTGGACGTCAACGTCACGTTTGACGTTTTTAAAAAATGCAAAAACATTGCATGGCTTACGACATGTCATTGTCATAATGATTACATTACGTAGGTCCTGACTGAGGCAATATTATACAAATCGAGTGTAATAGGAAAACTTTAGGTATTATTAGGAAGAAGATATAAAACGCTATAGTGTCAGTGCAACACGTCAGTCTTAAGATAAATATTCATAATAAATAATCTCGTTCACAACCATTGTTATCAAATAAACATTGTTCGTTGAGGTTATTATTGTACTTACGTTGTGTGATAAAAGTGTTTATTTTTGTTTGCGGTAGTAAAGTAAAATATAAATAAAATAAAATATTATGGAATTTCCTACGAGTTATAAGTTGTGTGCTGCGACCGCCGCACTGGCTGTGGGCTGTACTTTTTCCTACATTGCTTACAAACGCAGAGGAAGAGTACGCAATGCAAACGATGTATTTAATTATTTGACTGTCGAAATTGTGACTACTGAAGAATCTTGCGACTCTGTTGTTGCTGAGTTGAAAAGGTAAGAACGTTTTGTAATTAGTATGTTTACTATATTGCTTCTAAACAAACATACCTGTTACATTATAGTAAATGTTATTCTATCTTTTTCTTGTGTTACACACAAAATTATAGCATGTTATTTTTTTTTTTTCAATTTCTTCCTTTTGAAATATGTAACTAATGGCATATGAGACACAATAGAAAAATGTTGATGAATGGTGTTTGATTACCAACATTGAAATATATAATAACATAAAATCACGCCTTTTAACCCCGAAGGGGTAGGCAGAGGTGTACATAATGCCATATTATGAAATATAGGTAATAATAGGTGTTATTTACACCCATCCACTTGTTAAACTGTCAAACACCAAGCGGTCACCAGTGACCGCAACCTATTGTTCTATAATTGTGTCTACAAAACCGGTACTCGACGAGTTAATTGAAAATTTTTTAATTTTTTTTTTTTTAGGAGATGTCAGAAACACCATGCCTTAGGATTTGACTGTGAATGGGTCACAAATAATGGAAAGCGTCAACCTGTGGCATTAGTTCAGCTATCTTCCTTCGATGGCTACTGTGGCCTGTTCAGGTTAAATACATTAAAGGCAGTACCTTTATCTTTAAAAGTAAGTTATATTTTTTTGTTTTATTTTTATATTTGAGCTTGACAAGGGTGCCTGTGTGTGACAAACTTCCGTGTAAAATTTCTTCAAAGTTGAATATTACATACATTGTTCCTCACATTTTCTCTCAAAAATGAACCATTAGGAACTGTAGTGAAGGGTAGTTACATTTTTTATCAGTTATTATGGGATCTCAATAGGGAGTCAGCCTATAGCCATGGAAGGGCCACAATTCCAGATGCAACTCTTGTGAAAAAGCTTTAAAAGCTGATAATACTATGTCCGACCCAGGAATTAAATCGAAGACGAGTTCAACTGTTGCACGGAACATAAAATCAATTTAAAAACAAAAGCTTCTTTCTCGTAATTTACATTGGTTAGCCACGACGGCCACAACCACAACTACCATAGTAATAATCATGGAATAAAAATAATTATATTATGCGAAATAACCTTTGTTGACTTTGATATAAAAATAGACTTCATATCCAAGTCGCCTAAGGTTAAATATATTTGTGGTTTCAATTATTGTGTATGTTACAATGTCTTATCTTTCTGCCATACCTTTTTAATTTTTGCCGCGTAACGTGTGGAAAGTACTGTTATCATAAACATTCTTTAAGTTGTTAGTAGGTAAACAGATAAAAGAAATTAGTTCTTTTATCAGTTTACCTCCTAACAGCTCGTCGCGGCTTCGGCCAGGTGCAATCCTCCGATTGTCCAGGTGGTTTTGCATAAAAACCATCTTTCACACATTAACAAAAACAATAAATAAATAACCCAAATTGGTTTTGCCATTTTGCCAACACATTCGAAATGTCATTTCATAGTTCTATTGAAAATTCGTGTGACCGATATCTATATTTAGATATTACTCGAAATAATTACGTTATCATAATGGAAACAATGAATGCGGTAAATAACAGAACTTTGTTGATAATACACATTTGTTGAGTAACAGTAATTATATTAAGGCACACGTGTCTTTAAAGTACTGGCGCCTATCGTGTCCCCTTGCGTCATTGCATCATGTAACGTGACGTCATAACTTATAATTTGGGACATTGAGACATGATTCATCATTTAAAATGTTTACAATCTTTGGAAATAGTTTCTAGAAAGCTTTAAGAGATGTGAAAGCATATGTCATAGTTATATGTAACTGGTATTTCACCTTACTCACGTATAGGTTTGTCATCAATACTAGTTATTACAGTTTTTCGTCATAGAAAATTCACTAAAGTGACAAAGTAGTTTAATTAGTTCCTTCATAAGAGTTCAAGTTATTACGGACTAGCTTTCACCCGCGGCTTCGCTCGCGTAACAAAAGGATAAAAAGTAGCCTGTGTGACATATACCGAGTACCAACACACACAGCGCCATCTACACCAATACTTTCATTTTCTCTCGGGAATATCATTTTTTTCCGGGATAAAAAGAACCCTATTATTTAATCCAGACTTCTAACTTTACGTCTGCAAAAATTCAAAGCAATCGGTGTAGTAGTTACGGCGTGAAAGCGGAACAAACAAACTCACTTTCCCATTTATAATATTAGTAAGGATTAAAATCAAATTACCATAACATTACGCATTTTATCCCCGAAGGGGTAGGCAAAGGTGCACATTACGGCACTGTACAATGTAACACCCACTTTTCACTATTTGTGTTATGAGTCTCATGTAATAGGGGGTGAGCCTATTGCCATATACCGGGCACGATTCCGGACTCTGTGCTACTACTGAGAAATTAAGAAAAAATCCTCTTGCCCAGCAGTCGCACTTGCGACCACTGAATTACTACTACTACAAATTTTATTGATAATAGAGGTTGAGAACCAGTGACCAGTATGGTCACGGTTCTAGACTTCTAGAATAGACTACCTCCAATAAACTATAGATATATTTAAAATCGAAAATGCCAATTCAAGACCTTCTGCTCAGCAACATCACTATACAATAGAAGGCATTCAACTGGCAATATCTACTTCTGTATAATTTATTATAATATTTTGTTACAGGAACTACTAGAAGATGAGAGCATTTATAAAGTAGGTGTAGGACCCAAAGATGACAGCAAATACTTGCATAACGATTACTCTGTGGAACTGAGGTCTTCGCTGGATATTAGACATTTAGCCGAGTACTGTGGCTATGAACCTGGAGGCCTGGCCACGTTAAGCTCCGCTCTCCTACGAGCCGCTTTGGACAAGAGTTGGAGGGTAAGTCATGTTTGTAATATTATTTTTTAACAATTAATAGGCAGGAGATTAGGCTAAGTAAAACAGTTGTCTCGTTGAATTTTGAGGTAGACATTCAAATCGAAACGAAGGGTAGGGTCGACGTCTCTAGCCATCGTAAGGACGGCGAGCATGAGTAGCTCGCCTCCCGACCAGAACAAGACCCGTACGGCGCGTAGCGTTCCGCGCGCGCCTCTAAGCTATCAAACCACCACAGATAGGGCCCAATAAGGCCGATGACATTACGGTGCCGCGCAGAATTTAAACGGTTACCGGGGCTCCGGCTCGAAGTACAGAAGTAGGAACGGGGTGGTTTTTAGTCAGTAAGAGTCTGACACTCGCTCCCGGCTCACTCAGGCGGGAGAATCATTCGATGATTTTCCGCCCTTTAAAAAAATAAGGGTAGGGTCGAGATCAGTGGAATTATTGAAATGTAGATAGCGTTCAAAAAACCGACAAGGCACTTGTAACCCTCCTGCTGGTGCCACTTGTATGTCACTTACCTTTAGGTTAAGTGATCTTCTTTTAGAGGGGGGGGGGCTTCTAAAAGAATAACCTAAATAAATTGTCTCTTCTAGGTCCGTTGCAGTGACTGGGAAGCTGAAGAGTTATCAGAAAGACAAAAGAAGTACGCAGCGATCGATGCTCACGTAGCTATCAAACTGTTCGCCCTGTTACTAGAGAAGGTTGAAGAGACCTATTCAAGTTATTGGGAGCTTAACTATAATCCTGCAAGAGTTTGGACTCGTTTATACGAGTATTGCTCGAAGTATGCTGATGTTGGATATAAAACTAAACATACTATCAAATTGAAGGACCAGTGAGTATTTTTAAACTTTTTTTGTATTAACACGTATTTTGTTTGTAGTAAGGTTTACTTTTCTACAGTTTTCTTTATGGACCCCATGCTATAATACATCAGGCACAATAGGGTAGTTTCCTAAATTTTATTTTAATGTCCGTCTAGTACATTAATTTAAAACTTTAGACACGTATGTTTTCTTTTCTCACAAAATTAAATACTTTCGACGATATATTAATTTGAAATATCGTGTGACGTCACAGCGTGCCACATTTTGTAGCACGTTATGACGTAACGACCTCCCACTTCTAAACTTAGCGCCATTTTATCTAAGTATTGCAACTTAACTCGTCGAGCACCGTCATTATAGACACAATTAAAGAACAATAGGTTGCGGTCACCGGTGACCGCTTGGTGTTTGACAGTTTAATACGAGAAAATAAAAAAATACGTGTCCAATATTTTTTCATTATCTAACTGATGGACTAATTAGATTTTTAATTTTGATACCCTGGAAACTACCCAATTTCAGTCTTTCTGCTGTTATTGATCATTTAGAAAATTCTAAACCTAAACATATTGAGGTATAATAGAACATTCCAAAATCGCGTCTGAACAAACATTGTTTTGTAAAAAAAAACAAAAACGGCAATATAGTTTATTTTTGTTGGAATAATATTTAATAACACTTTACCCGACGGTGGAATTAGATCCACAGTTAGACAGGCATATACGAGACAGTAAAAGTTCTAAACATATGCTTAATTATGTTTTTATAATAACTATCGTGAGACATACTAAATTAACTAAAATCGCGGGTTACTCACATCATCGCAATATCGCCGCGACTGCGCACGCTGCTCATGAGGAAGAACCCCTCTGTGGTTCGAAACCAGTAGAGCTTTTCTCAGTATATTCACGTGAGTAACCCACGATTTTAGTTAATATGCTTAAGTATTTATCTACATAAATTATGCGTCAATAGGGTAGACGACTAATTTTTATTTTAATGTCCGTCTGGTAGATTATTATAAATCATTGCACACGTATTTTTTAATTTCTTACAGAAACGAATACTTTCGACGATATATTGATTTGAAATGTCGTGTGACGTCACTTTTATGTACATTTTATACGTAGAACAGACGTTTTAGCCCCCACTCCTAAACTTTGATTCGTTTTACGACAAAATAAAAAAATACGTGTCTAATATTTTTTAAATACCTAACTTACGGACTAATTAATTTTTAATTTTCATACCCTGTCGTCATCCCAATTGGTGCCCATATTAGAATACATCTGAATTCAGTAGTGTGTTATTTTCCTGTTTAGTAATAATAAATTGTGCAATAACATAGGAAGTTGTACAACGTCCCTACGAATCATCATGTGTGTATATATTGTAGGTATTGAGCCCAACAACATCAATAGCTTTGGGTATTAGTCATTCATAAGGCGTTAGGTCTAAGTACTTCCCTATTACTACCTTAAAATGTATTGTGCAATACCATGAGTACCTACTTACTGATTTATCTCGGTGGATTCAATTCCTGGGTTAGCTAAGTGTTTTTAGTTTATCGAATATTCTCAGTAAAATAACTTGACTGCACGGTTGGTGCGGTGGCTGGGCAACTGGCTGCCGTGAAACGTGTCGCGTGTTCTATTCCCGCACGGAACAACACTTTGTGTGATACAATTTGTTGTTTCGGGTGTCATATGTATGTGAATTTGTATGTTTGTAAACGCATCCACGATACAGGATAAAATACTAGTGTGGGGTAACGTTTTTATAATAAAAAAAGAACTGTAGAATTGTGCCCAGTGTATGTAGGGTCCCGTGACACAGAAGAAAATTTAAAGGAACGTTTTCTGTCATGTCTTTGACTATCATATAGTCTATAGAGAAGGCAATTCTTCCGCTAACTAAGAAGACGTGCATAAGACACTTGAAGGGTTAATTATAGACAGCGATCTTACATTTAACTTTATCGTTACATTGTTCTCGCACAATCCAAACAGCAAACTATGTAACTAGAGAATTGTATTGTGAACCTGATTGAAAAAGAGTAACCTATGGAGTTGCTTGCTCGTTCTTCTCCATAGGAATCTACACCTTGGAATGAGCAAATAGCTTCACTTTTAATTTTATTGTTGACGTTCAAAAGTGCCTTTCTGGTCTAATTGAAATAAATGATTTTGACTTTGACTTTATCTTTTAACAGTGCAAAAGAAAAAGACCCAAAGATTAAGGAACCTACAAAGAGGTATAAGCTCACAAAACGTACGCGACCTTTGTACAACAATGGCTACCTACAAGCTCCTGACGGTGAACTATTGTGTATCTGTGACAATAGGAAGGGAATGTGGTAAGTTAACTTTTTATTTTTTTAATCGAGTTTTTTTTTTAATGCCATGATCGTCCCACTGGTGGGCAAAGGCATGCCCTACCATCCTACCATTCGTCTTTCCGTTAATTTAACCGAATTGATAACTTAGCTCTTATTTCGGTTAGCTATGCCAAAGCAATACCGTTTTAGTGACTTTTTAATAAACGTAAGTAACAATCAGTTATTAAAGTAAAATAAAAAAATAAATTGTGAAAGCAAAATATGTATTAATAGATTCCTATGAAGAGGATCGAGTAACTCTATGGTTACACACTCTACTTGACCATAGGCGCCACCAAACCCCTTACCTTAGTTCCTACTATGACCTCACAATATCATTTCTAAATATTGTACTTTTTTTTTTCAGGTTCGTGAACAAAGGCCTGGCAGATTTGATCAAGGAGGATCCTCTCACAGTCCGCCTGAAGTTCGAGCCCGCCGGCCGAGCGGTCGGTGACGTCGGCCGCTACTACCAACTGGAGAAGGAGAACAAATGCGTTGTTTGTGCTAGCACTAATCACTGCATCCGTAAGAACGTCGTGCCCAGAGAGTATAGAAAACTATTCCCTGGTGAGTTTTATCTATTCACAGTCATATTTCTTCAAGATTTTTTCTTTAATAAACCATTAAAGGAACAACATAACATTATAAAATAACATCACGCCTTTTATCCCCAAAAGGGTAGGCAGAGGTGCACATTATACCACTGTACATACAATGTAACACCCACTTTTCACTATTTATGTTATGAGTCCCATGTAATAAGGGGTGAGCCTATTGCCATATATACCGGACACAATTCCAGACGCCGTGCTACTAATGAGAACATATAAAAACCCAGTAATACTTTGCCCGACCCGGGAATCGAACCCGACTCTAATCGACGAAATCGAACGACTGAAGGAACAGTTTACCACAAAATCTTATACTTACATTTTATTTTGCAGAAATCATGAAGGAGCATTCTTCTCACGACGTGGTACTGTTATGCGCTGAGTGCCATCAAATGAGTAATATTCGTGACCAGCATATGCGCGTTAGTCTAGCAGAGAAATGCAATGCACCACTACCGTCCAGTTCCAAGGACAGATTCATTGAAGACATGGCTGCTAAGTAAGTTTCGATATATTATAGTCCAGGTTTTTGTTGCCCCGAAATAGTTCGATAAAAATGAATGGTTATCCTTCTAAGTTGTCGCGGAGAACCTAACGGGTTACCGGGGCTCCGGCTCGACGTGCAGGAGAAGGAACGGGGTGGTTTTTAGTCAGTAAGAGTCTGACACTCCCTCCCGCCTCACCCAGGCAGGAGCAGTTATTCGATGATTGTCCCCCCTTAAAAAAATCCTTATAAGTTACAAAATATTCGAATACCACTAGTGAATAATCAGAATAAAATAAAAGGCCATATAATTATACTTTTATCAAATCATTTCCGTCCACAACAGGACATATAAATACTATTTAATTCGTTAAAAATATTCATTCATGACGATTTTTTATCTGTGGCTATCAACAGGAAAGTAAGGTCAGCAGCGCGCGCGTTATACCATGCGAACGAGAAGCTGCCGGAGGACAGGCGCAAGGAGTTAGAAGACATCCTGCTGCAGCATTATCCTGACCAGGAAGAGATCACATTGGAACTGCTAAAGGAAGCCTGTAATATAACTGTCGTGTAAGTATTTTCAACATATAAAATTATATTTTATACGGCAAGTGTTCGGTGAGGTGACTCGACTAGTTTCAAGCCGCGCTTGGGGCTCATGAAATATTCATGAGCCCCAAGCGCGGCTTTCGGGATTCAAGAACAACACTGAGCAATACTCGCCGTATTGGGTGTCGCGCAATGTAATATCATTAACTCGTTGAGTACCGTCATTATAGACACAATTAAAGAGCAATAGGTTGCGGTGACCGGTCTCCACGCGGTGTTTGACAGTTTAATTAATATTTTGTAATTCATATATTTTTTTTAAATCAAATAAGTCTCGCTATTTATACTGATACACAAATGAAATGCCTACTACAAAAGAGTCTCGGAGATGTAGGCAGATTAAATGTATCAATTTTGAACAGTTGTTACAAGTTACCAACCACACATCCTGACTATCTTTAACATATTTTAATAATATTACCATCGTAATATCGAAGAAAATTAATAATAAGAGGTCGGTAAATAATCCTACTATTATTAAACTTCAAATTATTCTTTTTTCTTTCAGCACAGAGAATACAGACTATGAATCGCACGGTATTAAAGTAGTAGATTACTATTTTAAACGTTCAAGTTTGCTCAAATTGGAACAAGAATGGCGCGAACACTTCTTGAAGAATATGAAACCTAAATATATGCCTGCTTTATGGTCCGTCAAACATAACGAAGAGAGGTAAGAAGCACAAAGGCCTATTTCACAATGTCTGTCAAATAGGGTAGATGACTAATTTTTATTTCAATGCCCGTCTGGTAGATTATTTAAAAACATTAGACACGTATTTCTTATTTTCTTACGGAAACGAATAGCTTCGAAGATATATTGATTTGAAATGTCGCGTGACGTCACTTCTATATATATTTTATACGTAGAAATATGCATGATGATAAAGATCAGACCACCACAGATGGGGCCCAATAGGGCCGATGCCGATTCGGAGTCGCGGAGAACCTAACGGGTAACCGGGGCTCCGGCTCGACGTGCAGGAGAAGGAACGGGGTGGTTTTTAGCCAGTAAGAGTCTGACACTCCCTCCCGCCTCACCCAGGCGGGAGCAGTAATTCGATGATTTTCCCCCCTTAAAAAAAAAAGCCCCCACTCCTAAACTGTGATTCGTTATACTAATTATTATTTTATACGACAAAATAAAAAAATACGTGTCTAATATTTTTTCATTACCTAACTGACGGACTAATTAGATTTTTAATTTTCATATCCTGTCATCATCCCTATTGTATATTAATCTATTTGACGCATTGTCCATAATAAACGTTTCAAAAATCTAAATACGCGTCAGTAAATCTTTAAAATATTATTATAATTTATTATAATTTTTTATTTATTTTATTTTATTTTTTATTTATTATAATTTGATGAGGCTTGAAAGTAAGATACCTTTACGCCTTGAAAGTAAGATACCTCAAAACGTAAGGTTTATCATCCTGATAATGAATCAGGTAAAAACCATCGAAATTAGCCCAATCGTTCTCGAGATTTCCGTTACACACCATACTAACTACTATACTAAAATTTTGTTTCAGGTTACGAGTGAAATGGGACGAGGGCCGACTGACCCGAGAAGATATGAGATCAATTGGATTGACAACATTTTAAATTTTTATATTTATTACATGAATTTATGTTTCACATATTCATGTGTCCAAATATTTGGGCCAATGTTTGACGAATATTTGATTTGTTTTCGTCCGGAACTTGGTTTATTGGCTATATCTGAGTGACGGAACGCGTGAGAACTGTATACGAATACGAAGAATTGCTCATAAGTGAGTAAATAGGTGTTAAGAAGATAAATAAAAAGTTTTTAAATTACTGTATTTGTATATAATATAATAGGGTAGATGACTTACTTTTATTGTAATGTCCGTCTGGTAGATTATTTTAAATCATTAGACACGTATATTGTATTTTTGTACAGAAACAAATACTTTCGATGATGTATTGATTTGGAATATAGCGTGACGTCACTTCTATGAACGTTTTATACGTAGAAATGACGTTTAAGCTCCCGCTTCTAAACTTAGACGGACTAATTAGATTTTTAATTTTCATACACCGTCATTGTTCCTATTATATGAATATACGGCATTAACTCATTTCGCCTGCATTTATTAGAATTTGTCATATCAAGGTTTACTATTTTTATTGTAGGTATATTAATTTTATACCAAGATTTTAAAAACAACGGTTTTAAATTATTAATAAAACTGTAAATTACCAAATAAATAAATGCAATTTTTATTTTTTTCCTTGTTTTTTATTCTATTTTCCCAGTTCCGACATATTTAAATAGCTATTATTATGGTTAATCGTGCGTATTATTCCAAGTTATTTTCCCGCCTATATCCGTTAGCCGTGGAGGACCAAGGGCCTTTGGAGGCCTTTGTCCAGCAGTAAACGTCTTTCGGCTGGTGACAATGATGGTCCGTTAGCCAACCCAACTTACTAAGGGGCGATATAGCAGGTAGTACCCATTTTCATTATTCTATTAGACTTCACTCTTTTAAATTAAATCAAACGACTTTAATGCGTCAGTGGCGTCCAGGGTTTTAATTTAGGAATTTTCATATAATGTTCCAACTAAGGCCTTTCCTTTTTCTTTCATATCTCACATAATCTATCCATTATCCCTAACTACTTTCCTTTATGTAAGTAAGCCTTGTAAACTCTTAAATTGGTGAGCATAAAATTGATAAACAATCAAATGTTTATTAAACCATAACAATCGGAAACCACAGAAAAGTTCTTATGTATATGCAAGGCCAGCTAGGCAAAAAGGATAAACAAGACTTCGAGAACCTAACGGGTTACCGGGGCTCCGACTCGACGTGCAGGAGAAGGAACGGGCTCGTTTTTAGTCAGTAAGACTTTGACACTCCCTCCCGCCTCACCCAGGCGGGAGCAGTCGTCATTCGATGGGGTTCTGGGGTCATTCGATGATTTTACCCCTAAACTGCACTAGCACCATCTAGTGAGCACAAAATGATCGAGTAATCCTCTTTGGAGAAATCTTTCTTGTGATGCTAATTGAGCGAGACTATTTACTAAAATATACAAGGCAAAATTTGTACTTTGTTTCTACTGCATTTATTTATAGATTCAGGCAGATTCCTAAAAAAATCCAAAACGCAATAATTATACAGATTATTTAGAGAAACAATAGACAATATTCTATATCTATAATCCGCTGACGATTTCAGGGTTAATGGTATCATTCACTCATTCGATCTTTCATGTTAGCCAACATTATGAAATGAAAGAAATGTCAAAGTTTCAAAATATTTCCGTTGTGTGTAGTGTTTATTGTTGATAGTGGAATTATTAAGTTTTTTTTAATATTACAAAATACAGAACAAATTACGCTTATTACAAAAAGTAATAAATATAAAAATGACACATACAAAACAGCTTAAAATAACAAAGTTGTTTCGAAAAGGAGGTAAACACATTAGCCTCTTTTAGATTAATTTTGTAGCAATCTTTATTCAATTAGAGTCTTCACCTCTCTAAGTTAAAATAAGTTCAAGTTTCGTTGAATCCGCACTAATCTTCTAATAAAGTGACCTACTTTCGCAAAGTAAAGTTGTTACAGTCTTATTACGCACATTCTTCTTAAAATTTTGCGTACAAAATAGTTGAGAGTACAGAAAAAGGTTCATGTCATTCATGCGGACAAAGTAGCAGTTAAATTTAGTTAATTAACTCATTGTAAGGCTAAAATATCCGATTTAAATTCTAGCTTCAAAGTTGCCAGAAGATTGTGACGAATTACAGGAAGAGATACAACGACTGGAACTGCAACTGAAAGAGAAACAAGATGAATTGTTTCAGTTGCAAAGAAACAGTTACAGGCGGAAAGCTTCACCTCCAAAGAAAAAGACTGAACCATTTGTTAGGCCTCAGGTAACTTTTATTATAGTATCTGTGTTAACTTGGAATATTTATCAGAGACATTGTAGAACATACTTCTTAAAAAGAGTAACAAATGGAGTTTCTTGCTTGTTCTTCTCCATTCGAATCTACATTTTGGAATGAGCACCTAGCTTCACCTAGCTTTACTGAGGGACTGACTGACAGACTTATTTATTTTGTATTTGTTGACGTTTCAAAAGTACCAAATTATGGTTTAATTGAAATAAATGACTTTAAACTTCTTAATGTTAATCCGATTATGAAAAATTCATAACATTTGTTAGTAAAAAGTAGTCTATACATAATGAAATTAGTGGAGAGTGGTGACTTTCAAAATGCTTTGATTTTGACGGTCATGACAGTTACTGCTTGGGGACTTAAGTACAAAGACTATTATTAAGATACACCTCGGTTGAATGGTATGAGAGTATTCTTGAACCTAAATCTACAATATGGACCTCTTTGATCCGAACTCTCAACATTATACCCCCCTTCGGATTACCTAGTGCAGTGTTCGGATTATAGGGATAAAGATAATAAGGGTATCATTTGTGAATAAAACTACTTCATAGGTACATAAATAATACAAAGTCTGTATTCATCTATAAACATTGCATATTTTATTCAAAGTTTTTTGAAGAAATCCAGTATTTTGGTTTGTCATGTGGTGTTTAGTGACAAATAAAATGCTTTTTCTCATAATTTATAATTCAGATTAGAGAGGGTTCGAATTAAAGAGGTCTTACTATATTAATTTTGTATCTCCGTTTGAGTGACAATAACTGTTGCCATGGGTAATAATATTTGCAAAAACTTGTGTCGTTTAAACTGTCAAACACCAAGCGGTCACCGGTGACCGCAACCTATTGTTCTATAATTGTGTCTATATTGACGGTACTCGACGAGTTAAGGAGTAACTACTATGAGATTCTGCACGGGATATTAATACAAGGTGAATTTCTAGAATAAGTACTAGATATATAATTGTATTGGTTTTATAAAATCTATTATTATAAACATTAACCAATGCTACTAGTTGTATCTTATCATCTCCTGTGCAGAACTTTATATGGTGACCCTGTCAGTGCAATAAATTTCTGAAAAAGGAATACACACATACACTATCACTACAATTTGTGTGTGTTATACATTTTTAAATTTGTTGCACTTATTTATAGTTTTTTAATTAATTCAGACAAATTTTGCTGCCGTGGCAATGTTACCCCGGCCAGACCTTTTTCTTTCTAATGGGAATATTTAAATAATTACTAGCTATAAAAATTAGTTTTCTAGATGAAGTAAATGTTGTGCCTTACTTTGAATTTGTTCTTTCATCGGTTGCGAAGTTATTCGAGATACCGCTGGGGTAACGTTTTTGGTTTTGCTAGATCTTTGAAGTGGTTAAGAGGATTCTTATAATATTTTGTAAAAGATACGATAACAATACGATTCACATCAATACCGTGCTCGTGAAGAACTCAATAACATCATAACTTGTTAATTATTTACAGGATACTAATAAAACTTGATAATTTATCTTATGTAATTTACATTATACCTATTACACCTACTGTTGCACATCTCTGCATCACCCCATGGTTGACTGTTAGAGAATGCCACCCGGCATTAAGTCCGCCATCGTATGTTATAATATACAGAAGTGTTAATAAATAAAATAAATAAATAAAACTTCACATACATTTGAAGGCAGCTATAAGCTTTAAAATAACGTTTAAACTGTCAAACACCAAGCGGTCACCGGTGACCGCAATCTATTGTTCTATAATTGTGTCTACAAAACCGGTACTCGACGAGTTAAAGTAAGTCTGTAGAGCTCTTATTGAAAGCGCTGGGACCAATTGAAGTGTTTTTCTATTTAATGATATAACCTTTAAGCTATGTATTATTTTCGTTTTTTATTGCAGAACAAATTTAAAGTAATTAATAAAAAGCCATGTACAAAATATGATAGGAATCTGCTTACCGCTTAACCATTTTAAAGATCTATCAAAACCAAAAACGTTACCCCACCAAAATCTCGAGTAACTTCGCAACCGATGAAAGAACAAATACAAAATAAGGAACAACATTTACTTCATCTAGACAACTAATTTTATAGCTAGTAATAATTTAAATATTCCCATTAGAAAAAAAATGTCTGGCTGAGGTAACGTTATCCCAGCAGGAAATGTTTTTGTAAATTAATAATTAAAAAACTATAAGTGGAACAAATTTAAAAATATGCGTAACAATTACAGAAGTCGCAAAACTAATCAATACATAGTATAAAACAAAGTCGCTTTCGCTGTATGTCTGTATGTATGCTTAGATCTTTAAAACTACGCAAAGGATTTTGATGCGGTTTTTTTTAATAGATAGAGTGATTCTTAAGGAAGGTTTGTATGTATAATACATGCATATTGCACCCGTGCGAAGCCGGGGCGGGTCGCTAGTTATCTATAAGATTCAAATAACAATTTTCGACAACATCTGGCCTGGTTAACGCACACAATTATACACTAAGTATTTTTAATATAACAGGCATTCTACATCTATCTTAGACGATTCTTTCATATATTTTATAAGCAACAAAGTATAGTAACTCCATATTTGGAAATTCCAGAAAATAGTCCTTTCAAATGCTGTGGACCGGCTGAAGGTGGATTTGGAGCTAATGTCAGTGCTATCTGGCATAGAGGTGCAGTCTTATGTGCTGCAGGATCATTGTTGCATTGTCTACCACATGCAGCATGATTCTCAGCATCAGGTCAAACACGGATTGAGGATTGAACTTAGCAATGGTATGTCGGATAATTAAATAGACCTATATTATTTTAATAGCAGTTGATAATGATAGCCTACCAAGAGTTCACCAGCGATATTCTCAGTAATCAGAATCGAATGGGTAATGTTGAAATTGGCCAGGATTGTTTGGCATCATATGA